CCACTTCTAACTTCTCCCATTACACTAGGATTCGCTAACTTCTATCGGAAGTTCATACGGAACTATTCGCGAATCACTACACCCCTAACAAACCTAATAAAGAAAGAAGTCGCGACCTTTACTTTAATAGAGCTTATTAGATAAACGATTAAGAATCTTAAGAAAGCGTTTACTAAGACCCCAATTCTCACGATCTTTAACCCGGGTCTATAGACACTCCTTAAGACGAATACATTAGATAACGCGATCGCTACGATCCTTACATAGATAGAATAAGACGAGAAGGTTAGGCTAGTCGCCTACTTCTCACGAAAAATAACAGAATTAAAGCTTCACTACGATATTTACGATAAAGAATTACTTACTATAGTGAAAGCATTTAGACACTAGAGAGTTTATTTAGAAGGATCTAAATATTTAGTGAAGGTCTATTTAAATTATAAAAATCTCTTATATTAGAATACGACTAAGACACTTAATAGAAGATAGATACGATGAGCGAAAACACTCGCTATACACAACTTTAGAATTTACTATATTAAAGAGAAAGAGAACGACTAAGTAGATACTCTTAGTTAACGACTAAACTATATAAAGGACATAAAACTAACCCTATTAACTTTACTACGATAAGAGGAAGAATATCTTATATATATACAACCAGTGCTTACAGTAGTAGAAGTAATCTTAGAGAAAGACGACTACCGGTTTAACCTAAAAATCAATATGACGGAATATCACTTCGTAGATAGAGTACACAATGAAGTCGTACGCCTAGAGATTATAAAACATTATTATAACGACTTACTAATGAGACACCCAGGAGCTAATAAAATAATTAAGCTCATCACCCGACACTACGACTCTTAGAAATATATAAGATAAGAAATCTAAGAATTTATTAACTAGTGCGAAGTGTGCGCGTAGACGAAGCACGTAAGACATAGGCCCTACGGACTACTAAAACCGTTATAAGTTCCCGATGAAGCCTAAATATCTATTATATTTAACTTCATCACGAAACTATCTAAATCATAAGAACTCCTTACGAAAGTAATCTACGATAGTATATTAATAATATACGATAAACTAACGAAATTTTTATACTTTAGACTATATCTTAAGAAATCAATAGCAGAAGAATTCGCATACGAATTCTTACGAACGATCTTTACTAATTATGAAATACTAAGAGAGATTATTACGGATAGAGATAAGCTCTTCACATCTAAATTCTAGAAGGCGTTAATGGAACTACTAATGACGAAGCATAAACTATCCACATTATTTCACCCCCAAATAGACGATTAAATAGAAAGAACGAATTAGACTTTAGAATAATACTTAAGAATATACGTAAACTATAGCCAGACGAACTAAGTAAGACTATTACTAGTTACTTAATTTTACTTTAATAATCATAAGTCAGTAATAGAAATGAGCTCATTCTTTACTAACTATGGATTTCATTCACGACTTAAAGAAATTATAGACGAAAGTTCGAACCCGAGGGCTAAGAGTATAGCATTAACTATAAAGAAACTATACGAACAACTTAAATTAGATCTACGATTTCTTATAGAAAAGATAGTATAATATACGAATAAAAGAAGAATCGAGGGACCGCTCCTAGAGAAGGGAAACCCCGTCTATCTTCTGTAAAAAAACATCAAAACGAAGAGACTAAGCGCGAAGCTAAACTATACGAAACTCGGACCATTTAGAATTAAAGATAAACTTAGAGACGTTATATATCGACTAGAACTACTAAAGGACATAAAGATTCACAACGTATTCCATAAAGTACTTCTTAAACCAGCACCGCGGAACGCTAAAATTATTTAAACACTTTCGCTAGATGAGAAGATAGCACCCGAGAAATATAATGTTAAGAAAGTCCTTAGGAAACGCGTTAGACGCGGCCAGCCCTAATATCTAATTAAATGATTAGGATACGACGAGTGCGAAAACAGCTAAGAACTAGAGACCAACCTTTCGAAGGAACTTCTAAGGAAAATAAGGAAGGATCACCCTAAGTAGTTCCTAACGCCAACAAAACATTTAGCTATCCATCGTCGAAGATAAACTTACGAGCTATCGGTAGCTTAGATTCATTCGGCGTATACCCCTTCTCTCGATTAAGAGTATTCAATACTTAGAATTACCGAACTACTATATCACTTTGAGCGTAAGTATACCTCTCTATCTATCGCTGATAGCTAGCTAGCCGACGCTCTAACTTAGCCGACTCGACTACGAACTCAGTAGCCTCGGTACGCACTTAAGCCATACGATCGCATAGCCTCCGGGCCCGCTTCGCTATTCCCTTACGTACCTCACGGCAACGGCTTTTCAGCTCTTCCTTCTTCTTCTTTAGGGACTAAAACTCCTCCTCGGAATATTGACCATCACATCTTATATTTTTTCGAGTATACTCGCTACAGCGAGAATTATCTTTTAGGAGGAAGTAGATAGAGAACGACCTAGCATAATTCGAATAAGGAGCCATAGTTAAGGAACCTAGGCGCTTTATCTTTTCAGCGAGAAGACGACGCTCAGAGAAACGTTAGCGGGAAACTTTGCGAATATCTAAGGAAGAAAGAAGAGAGGACATCTTTAGACTTAGACGAGTTTAAGCTAAGTAGCGTTCCGCTTTTATATCATCGCTAAGACGAACTCTTGGGATAAGAGTCTAATCGAAGGAAGGATGGTGTTAGACACAGCCTTGCGGAAGACCGACCATAAGTCGCACGAGCGCGGCTCACCACATTTATTAGGCACCTAGAAGGAGTCACGGGGAAATAAGGCTGAGACACGTGACATACTCTATTAGCTCTGCTCGCTCTATCGGCTCTATTAACAGAGCGCACAGAGCGCATAGAGCGCATAGAGCGTACGCACTATATATACACCCTCACCACCCTAGATAGTTACACTCTCTTCGTAGTCAACTTATGTTATCTACTGAACTATACAGTTCTTAGTAACAGAGAACTCTACTCATACCTTGTGTCTTCCACAACCAGCTCATGCTATCTTAGGATCGTTACTAAGAACACTAACCCAGTTAGGATCAGTAGGGAACCTTAACATGAGATCTCGTTTAAGCTCGACCTATTGGCCGCTCCAGGTACCAAGAACTTCAAGTATTTCAACTAATAGGACAAATTACGAAGCTTGCTAGGGGCCGGCATTCGCGAATGCCGGGCATAATGTCTTTCCACCCAATAGCGAGGAGACGCCGAGACGACCGTGATTCGTCTGCTAAGACTGCGAGGAAGATGTTATGGCATCCGAAAAACTGGATATACGACGTATATACCGGGTAGATGCAGATGTTGAAGTAGCAGTCTTGCCGACTTGGAGTCAGCCAACCAATGCACCCTTTCTGTGCTATAGCTTCCGGAGCCTTGCAAATGCGGGCTGGGAATAAACCACAAACCAGTACTTGTTCCTCATGTGGGCCTGGAGAATGTACCGCGTAGTCGGACACTCTTGGCACGCACAGCCCAAAGAGGAAAAGAGGAGCTGAGAGTTGCCGTTCCCACCAACTCCCTACTTGGTAATCTGAAGCCAATTATCTAACCAATTCCAGATCGCTAGCGGATTGATCACGTGATAATACTAGACCCTATCCGCGTTAGTCCGGACGCTCTAAGCTAAGTTGTCACGTGGGTTCTCTGTCTGTGTATTTCTGAGTGGCCAGCGGCCCCGGGTGGGTACGGTAATCCGCTGCTCTCTGGTGGCCCTTGACGCGAGGACGTTCGCTTCTTCTTCCCGTCGGTCTCACCCCATTCTCCAGAATGACCCCAGTTTCTCCGGCCAAAGTTTGTGGAATCCTCTGCATCTTCTGTTTTCTCTGCATTGAAGATACCAAGATTATCCGTACTGCACTGCAAGTTCCACTATTCAACTATACCTCGTAGTGTAGGTATAATCCTCACTACTAGCACAGACTTTTACTAGTAACTATCTACACTACTCTCATTGCAAGGGCGTCGCTATCCGACGATCCAATACCATTCCTACAGCTACATCCCCGGGCTGTGCCTTGGACTGTCCAATTGATCCCATGATTAAGCTATTCCGGGAGTGACTCTTGTTTCTCATTCTGATGACCTTCTTTCGCCTTCAATCAAGACGCATCGACAGGTTATTGTCCAGCAATACTGCATTTGGAGGATAGCCTGGGATACCCGAGACGGGATGACAACCAAGCAACTTCATCAACCGCGGGCTAGATCCTGTGAGGAATGCAACCGGTAAAGTAGGCGCTCTTGAAGAAACAAGTTTTTGCTAAAAAGATTCCTCCCACATTAGCAAAAAAGCGAAATGTAAGCCGTGGTCCGTACTGATGCCCGTATTTTCAAGGGTTAAAGGACTCAAAAACCAGCACATTCCAATCCAATGAGGGCAAGTTGTCGCTAACCAGTGAACAGGCGACAAGAAATCCCCGAAATGTCATCGATGTCAACAATCAGGGTCGCGGTGCATATATCCCACCCATCGCAAGCGCACGACTCTGGAGACGAAATATCAAAGCCTCCGGCGAAAGCTGATGGACTCAAACCAAGCGGATGAATTAGGTTCGTATGGAACTCCACTTGGAACTCCACCTGTAAATGTCTTAAATGGTTTGATCTACTCAGAGGACGTAGAGGCTAACAATTTTGCACGCAGGAGGGTTACTGGATCACGTCGACTTGGATATTTTGCGTGGTGCTCTTCGGCGTCGAGAGAAGAAGACAGCGGCGGCGGATTCTGGATCCTCGCCATCCGACAACAACGTAGCTCTGGATGTTCCGGGAAATACAAATTGTCAGCAGCAGCAAGCACAGGATATGCCGTTAACATTATCACCACTATTACTATCCAGGGTATCAGGTACACCGAATCTGCCAATGGTTTTGTCTCAAAACGACGATTCTATCTCTGATCATTTACACGTCGATGGACAACACAACAGCCCATCGCACGACCCTAACAATTGGCTTGGAAACATGACCTTTAGCCCGTTCACGGACAGCTATGGAATGTTCAGTCTCCTCAATTCGAGCGAGCTAAATGGTGAGTAGCAGGCTTTACTTCTCTCGCTCTCTCTCTGAACTTGGCTCTTGTATTATTGAGAATATGGACTTGGGATCTCTGACTCGTTTTCTTGCATTAGGCGACGGCTGGTCAGGCTCTGCGCACACTTTGTCAGAAGACCTGAATTTTTCAGACAGGAATCCCTGTACACTCGCATTCCCGCCTGTTCTAGTGGATGAATTGTGCGTACCTCCGAGAATATTTTGATTTCAGCATGCCTGGGGCTCATCCTGCTCTCTAATATTTGCATATCCCTTTCCTTCTGTTTTAGACTGACAAAACACAAATCTTTGTGCTACCACCAGAATTGATCTGTTCTTCCTACGTGTGCAACCTTCTATTCCTATCTTCCACGAACCGAGTTTTCGGCAAAAGTTCCACGTCGGCAGCAGCAACAACGACAGATACGCACGGTTGTCGATTGAGGACGCCCTGATTTTGACAGCAATGATGGCCCTGTCAGCGAGGTTCTCGACTAACGATTTCTTCCCGTCCGCCATGTCGAAGGATAAAGGCAGAGTGTTCGCCCGGAAAGCAAACGCCTTTTACGCGGAAGCTCTTCAAAGTGATGAGCAAGGCAGCGACGAAGGGAACGAAATCTCCCTCGGTTTCCTCCAGGGGTGCATCCTATTGGCATTCTACGAGCAGACAAACAGAATCACGACCCAAAGCTGGCTCCTTATCGGCACTTGCTGTCGACTCGCAATCGACTTGGGACTCAACGAGGTGGACAAGGACGTCATGATTAGCAACGAAATTGCAATACCCACAGCGTCGCCCGCTGAGGAGCATCGGCAGCAACATCAGCACCAGTATTTAACAGCAGAAGACTCCTGGGTTCAGAAAGAGGAGAAGAGGAGAGCCTGGTGGCTGGTGTGGGAATTGGACGTGTTCGCCGCCACCATCCTGCGCAGACCACACTCTATCAACAAGGATCAAATGCACGTCTTGCTTCCCGTGTCAGACGCCTCGTGGTTCTCTGAAACACCCACGGAATCGATCTTCCTTCAGACCGACTTTCTCCACGAGTGGCAGACGTTGGAAAACTGTCCCAACGCGGATGAAAGGGCCTGGTTCCTTGTCACGACCCTTCTCATGGCTAGGGCGGCCGATCTAGCTTCCCCAGAGAATACCTTCACCTTACAGGACACTGTCAACTTCGGGTCGACTTTGAATTGCTTCGCTCTGCTCCTCCCCCAGTGGTTTCAACTAGACTTTGTGCGAGCCCCGTTCGACGAAAGAAACTTTGCCGCCAACAACTGGGCACTTCTTACTATATTCATGCTTCACACGTACGTTGCGCATGGAATGTTTTCGTCTCCTTCAGGTATTGGCGCTGATATCGATTCTAACTTTCCTCTCAAATGTCCCGTAGAGCACGCGTCCTCGTCCGAAACGCACAATATATCAAATCCCAAAACGGGCTGGAGAATTCCGCCATCGTGGCCGCGCTCCCCACTGGCCCGCACAGCGACACTTATCTCGTCTTCCGCGCCATGGAGGCCTGGCCGCCCGAATACATCATCTACGCCTGTCCGTTTGTCTCGTGCACCATCATCGGTCCAGCCTTTGACAATATCCGGGCTGCACTGCTGTTCGAGCCTGGGGGCCATGGAACCTATCTGTCCATGTTGAAACTGATTCTCAAGAGGATTGGGACGTTCTGGGGTATTGGGGAGAGCGCGCTGAGTGAGTTGAAACCCTTCTCCCCTTCCCTCTCCTCTCCTCGAACAAGTTTCACTCTTCACATTTGCATCTCCATCCTTTTGAATTTTTTCATTATCCCAGTATTTCTGTATCCTTGAACCACTCACAGCTTTTCACGTAACGTACAAGACGACGGGATGATGGATCATTGCAATCACGGAATGGAGTCCGGAGTGCTGACGAAATCCCTCTCCTATGTCCCATGCTGTATGGGATTGCGGGTATTTCAAATAATAGGACTAGTTGAAATATTCGAACACGAAATCAAGGTCAACGGCTCGTTTCGCAAACAGGCGTTTCGGAGGTACGCAAAGGACTTTTCCTTGCTCGTTGTTGATCCGGCAAGGAATCCGTGATGCAATATACAATGGCATACAGTGCACAACTTGAACAGCGTGAAAGAAGGGTTAGGGCAGGCAGGCGTGGGGAGGAGAAACGAGGAAAAATTCAAAGGTACCTTATGCTCTATCCTTCCTGTACGCATCAATCGAGGCGTTTGTGCCCTGATGCATGATGGCGGGCACAGTGATTGCCGTTCACTTCCCGGGGGATAATCTGACACACAATGGTGTATACCAGAAAGGACCCAATGACCTACAAGTACTGTCCCGGTCCAGGTCCGGGGTCTGTGAACGCCGGTATTCCGAAACAACCAGTACCTAGGTAGTAGTTTAGCTCGCACGATTCTCCTTGCCGCGTCGGCAGTGGCACTGTGGGTAGAGGGTTAGCCCGGCAACAGCGAGAGAATACTAGGCGGATCAAGCCACCACGTACTCACCCGGGAGAGGCTATGGAGGTTTTGCCGCATGGGAGGTTGAGTTTGAGGAAGCCTGACCGATCAAGTCTTTGAATTATGTACCGTGGTGATGTGCTAGGGGTACCTGACCACCGATAACTAGGTGGGTAGGAAGCACCCCGGGTCTAGTTGTATATACCGCAGACACGGTCGGTACGTACATGCATCAGCTTGTATCGGTGACTCTTAAACATGGCATGGCTTGATTTGTATTTTGGCCTGCTTTCGATATAACACTGACTTCCTACAACATATACACATATAACCACATTTTCACCATCTCGCCCACGGAATGGTTGATCACCACTCACCACTTCGTCGACCCGCCGTCAATCAAAATATCCTGCCCAGTCACATATCTGCTTGCGTTGCTGGCCAGGTAGAGCGACGCGCCGACGTAGTCCTCGGGCATGCCAATGAATCCCAACATGGTGTCGCTTTGCCACTGCTTTATAAGGTCCGGATATCCCCTCGTCATGTTGGTCAACGTGTACCCGGGACTGATCGAGTTGATTCTGATCCCACTCCGTCCGAGTTCCTTGGCTATTTCAGATACCATTCCCCGGACGGCGGATTTGGTTGCGGCGTAGATGCTTGAATTGTGCGTCCGGGCTGCGACGTAAGACGCCGTGCTGGCTATCACGATAATGCTTTTGCTTTTCCTTTTGCTCTCGTTCTCACTTCCATTACTGATGACTTTCTTTATCTCACTGGGGGCTGAGTTGGATCTGACCATGGCCTGTGCGGCTAGTTGGCAGGTGAAATACACGCCTTTGACGTTGACGTTGATCAGTTTGTCAAAGTCCGCTTCTTCGGTGTCGAGGAAGTCCTTGACTTGATTGATCCCGGCGGCTGTGATGCAGATGTCCAGACCGCCGTCGCCGCAAAATGGCATGATTGTATCTTCAAAGGCTTGTTTCAGGGCGGGGACACACGAGACGTCAACCATGCGATACGCCGTGCGGATGCCGTGGGAGGTGGAGATGCTTTCGAATTCAGTCGAGGGAGGCGAGATGTCAAAGACTGCGACGTCCGCTCCCGCTCGAGCAAGGCCAGCGGCTAGAGCGAGCCCTATGCCTTGGTTTCCGCCGGTGACGAGAGCGTGATGCCCGCGAAGGGAGAACTTGTCACGGTGTTTTTCTTTAGTTGAGGAATGGAAAGGGCTTGAGCTTTGATGATTGTGGTTAAGGACGAGAGCAGGATTTAAAACATACCTCTTCCATTTCAGCGCAGTCTCCTCTGTTACAAACGGGGACCTCATAACCTGCTGTTCATGGATCTTTGATGCAAAACGACTTGTTTTTCTCCCTTGGGGAGCTTCGCTCTACTTAGATTGTAGCTGGGGACTGCATTCGGCGATGAGAAGGCCGGGAAAGGAACGGCATTCGATGAGGCCGGAATGCTCGTCAAGAAGAATCAGAACCCATCGTAGCACGCGAACCAGGTCAGATGTTGCGGTTTCAGTAGGCCCCGTTGTTCAACAATCTTGTTCTCAGGGTGTGATGCAATGATTTGAGAGTTTTACCTCGATGGTATGGCGACCATTTTCTCGGCTCTTCATTTGTACGAGCACTGGGCGAGATGGGTGGAAGGCTTAAAAAGAGCCTTCGTCCCTCTAATCAGGAACAGTCCTGGTGTCGATCACAGCCCTTCCACCGTTGGAGAAAATAGTGCAAAGTTGATCTTGCATCATGGCAAACCTGCCGTCCTTCACAAGAACATTTCATCGAGATACTTACCCGGCCATATCACCCACGCGACCAGAGCAGTCAGCGGCTGGAAAAGCCGTCATTGTCACCGGCGCCGCAGGTCGAATCGGCAAGGCAACCTGCATGGCATTCGCTCGCGCTGGAGCCCAACATGTTGCCATGCTAGATCTCGACGGCGAGAACCTGCAAAAGGCAAAAGCAGAGATCGTGCAGGATCCAGAATGCAAATCCTCGAACCTTCACTTATTCCCCGTCGACATCACGAACCAGGCCGCGGTCAAAAAGACCTTCTCCTCGATCGATTCGACCTTGGGCAAAGTGGACGTCCTGGTCAATAACGCAGGTTACCAATCTTGCCCCGAGCTATACCGAGATGCCGACATGGATGAGTGGTGGAGGAGTTTCGAGATCAACGTAAGGGGCAGCTTTATCGTCACGCAAGAGTTCGTGCGAAGAACAGCACCGGTGCTCTCGGACAATGCCGAGCCTGTATTGATCAATATCTCGAGCGTACTTGCACATTGGGGCATCAGACAGGGTTATGTAAACAAGCAAAGTGCTTACAGCGGGGCCAAAATGGCAATGACTCGAGCCATGGAGATTCTTCAGGAGGAAGAGCCATGGTTACGGGTCGTGAATGTCCACCCGGGTCTTGTAGTATCGCCAATGTCAGCGAAGTCGGGGACATTGGAATATTCCATCGACAATGGTTGGTGCTGACAACACTTCGAGTCTCAGCCTGAAACTAACATATTTTTTCCTAGTCAACTTACCGGCGCACTTTGCCGTATGGCTTGCAAGCGATGAGGCGGAGTTCACAAAGGGAAGATTCTTGTGGTCAAATTGGGACGTATCTGAGCTAAAGCAACGAAAGGCAGAGATTTTGGAACACGATCTGTTGAGGTTAAAGGTAGACGGGTTGTGATCGTATACATATATGAATAGAATGCACGTTTAATACCTTTTGTCATTGCTGGATTGCCGAAGGGGTTGTTCAAGGAGATCTCTACCTCTCTCCCTTAATTCACGCGTCGACACGTCAATTCGGGCGATCACGAGGCCTAGCCGCGAAGAGTCTTTCTCCCCTTCCTTCACCCTCAAACGAGTTCCTCAAACCCTCTCATGATGCCCTCGGCCCCGAACAAGATGTCAAAATCCGCGGCCATGCTCGCCGGGAAACACTCGGCCCATGTGCCCAGATGGTCTTCTTGTCCCGAGGAGAAGGACTCGACGGCGTTGAACGGACTGATATCGGGGCCTGGGCCAGCGCGGCCCTCGGCGGCTCTGCCATACATTCCCGGGACGTTTTCGATACTACTAGTATTAGCGGTAGTGGTGGTGACAGCATTGGTCGTGTTCGGAAATGCATTGGAGCAAGAGGCCGTCGACAAAGAAGAAGTTGCCGACGCCGAAGGCGCATCCAGCAACGGTCTCTGGGAGGGCGCCACCTTCTCAAACGCCGCCGTGTAGTACGCAAAGATGAACCTAGCCGCCAGGTACTTTTCCTGCAACTGCTGGACGACCAGCATGGCGAGGTCGAGGTTCTGGCTCGCCAGGTGCCATTTCATGCCCGTCGAGAGGCATTTTGCAACGAAGAGGATCGCGATGATGGAGATGAGCATGGTGACGCTGTCGAGAGGGAGAAAGGTAAAGTTAGCATTCTTTCGTTTCCCTGCTTGCAGAACATAATATAATCTAGTTGAACCCTTTCATTGGTAGATAGATAAAGAGATAGATGCAGCTCCAGACAAGATAAAAAGAGAAGGGGGGCTTGAGAGAATGAAAGTCGCGTGCCTTGCCTTTCAGGAGGTAAGAACCGGACGAGCTCAAGCTCGCTGAGTTTTCGGAAGCTGTCGGTTGCCGCAGACGCCGACAGTTGGCATCCTTCCCACGCGATCCGTGCCCGGATATCGCTTTCATGCCGGGTCGGCAGCAGGCCATCTTGGAAGATGAAGGGCTTGTACAGAGTAACCGCCGTGACACTAGAGGCAAGATAAGAAAAAGCGAATGAGCTCTCCACAATGCCAGCTCAGGGGGGTGGAGGAAGGGCCGCCAGAGCCCACAGAGAGGGAGGGCCAAACTCACTGCTGGAGGATCTGGATGTAGTATTTGTGCAGCGTCATAGCCATGGGCTCGTTTAAAGAGGTGAGCGGCGTATCTATCCGACACCGCGGGTCAAGAGCCACTTGCCAGCGGGCCAACTTCTCTTCGAGGATCTCTACCACACTCCAGGGGCTCGGCTCCCTCAATGGCCTGTACACGGACGCTAGCACCTCGCCCAAGATCTGGCTTAATTTGACAATCTCCAAGAATAGGGGGGCGTAGCTGTTACACCTGGCGACGACGGCTGCGCTTTCTTGGTTGAGATTCCAGTTCGACGACGAGGTGCCAGCGGTGTACACTAGATCTTCGAGCGTCAGTTCTTTCACGTCGCAATCTTCGGCGTTGATGCGGAACGCCCGTCCCATCCCCAGCGCAATGCATCGGTCCCGGTAGAAGCAACACCACCAGATCCTTCTCCATAGGCTGCGCTGAGATGGGGGCACGTCTGAGAAGCCCGGGTCGCGGTGGAGACCGACACTCTGGCTCAGGCTGATTGCCACACCTACCCAGTGCCAGCTGTCGGTCCTGTCATGGGCTTGTCCCAACCAATAACCAAGCAAAAGGACCGATTGGATCAGGCATATTTTGTCCGTTTCGTACTCGAAGTCGTAAAGCGCCTGGCAGAGGGAAGGTTAGATCTGTTGGTGCAGGTGCGAGGGGAAGGTATCAAGTCACCTTGGCTCTCTCGTAGAACCTCCTCTTCATATGCATAAGTGACGGCCATCCCGACCTTTTCAGCCCCTCCGCCGAGATAAACTAGAAGATTTGAACTGAGGACTTGGAGATGCATGTGCGTTGGTCAAGGTCAATGCTTACATTGCTCGCAGCGAGAAACATGCTCTGAAGCAAGAGCGGGCTGATGCTTTGGACGCCGCCAGCATCGTATCGACGACGAAAGTCGTAAGGGTCGACAATCGGAAGTATCGGGTAGACATAATCGAAGAACAAGGAAAGGAGCTCGTCCCTCAGATCATCTGACTCGGTTGAGAACGCTCCTTTGGCCTGTAGGCACGCATATTCTTCTGGCGATAATTGACGTCTCTTTGGTTGAGGGACGAGATAATGGGCCTTGGAGGCAATGCTCTTGTCTCTGGCGACGTGGAATATGAATCGCAGCGATTGAAGCTCGCCTGGAAACTTGTGCTTAGCTACCTTCACTCGTTGAACCACAAATACACTTTGCAAACCTACCAACATACAGCGGCACTTTGGCTCCACTGGTCTCGACTGCATCGACAATATTCCGATAAGCCTCTACGTTGGCTCGGGACTCATACTCATCCCGCGATGGAGGTTCTGGTGCCGGACTGCTCGAGTTGTTCGAGTCCGCAAGATCCGTGGACGGCCCAGGGGGAACTTGTGCATCCGAAGTAGGTCCAGCTGATGATAACGAAGTAGGGGTGCTACAACGGCCTCGTGCATCTTTGTTCAGCTTTCGTCGTTTGTGTTTGCCTCTTGCAGAGACATGCAAAGCACATTGGGTCTGATCTTGCTGGCAGTTGGAGCAGGGCTGGCCGACGAGGACGACATTGCAGCGGACTTTTCTGGCATGGCACGCGGTGCAGGCTATCGGCGCGCGTCGTTTCTTGACAGGCCGGCCATCGCTCGAAATTGCAGTAGTACCAGCCATCGGAGAAAGTCGTCGCTCTGGGGAAACTGGAGTTGGTCAACAGCCCGTTGGCTTAACGCGGAGAAGGCGACAAATACTCGGTCTGCCGGGGAGGCATTCTCGGTTATATGGTCGCTTATATGCCTTGAAGCTCAGCCGAGGGTATGTCGACCAAGGCCCACGGCATGGATTTACATCCAGACTTCCCCGGGCGGGGCGGGGAATGCCCGTTCAAGGAATGACAATGGTGTAATACCCCGTACTTTCGTCAAGCTGACATTGACAAGCGCAGAACGCGTCGCTAAGCGCCGTCGTCCTCGCCCTCGCATCGCGTGGCACAACCATGCCGACATCGGCCTTCGACGTAAGACCTTTAAACATGGCAACCCCAACAATCCACCACGCCTATTATTGCCATGACGGGGAGCGACACCGAGGACGACGTTGAATACCTAGCATGAGCGCTTTCCGCGGGTGTCTCTCGTCGCGAGCGACCACAGCAGTGCACAGCGGCCTTCGCAGAATACCGCAATCACAACAGTTCGTCCTGAATGATAGTGTTAAGCTGCTTCAACCTGCGAGTCGTCGATCGTTCCGTTCGTCAGAGGCTGCGATGGCGAGTAGTAAAGACTGGAGCGCAGCTCAGTATCTGAAGTTTGAAGCCGAGCGGACCCGTCCAGCAAGAGACCTCGTTTCGCAGGTACCCTTGACAACGCCGAAATATGTGGTCGACTTGGGCTGCGGACCGGGCAATTCAACAGAGGTCCTTTGGAAGCACTTCCCGCAAGCCCACGTCGTCGGCCTCGACTCATCCCCGGACATGATCGCAAAGGCGCGAAACAGACTGCCCCATCTCGAGTTTACCCTGGGCGACCTGAGTTCCTTCGAGCAGGCGGGGGAACCAGCCGACCTGCTTTACTCCAATGCCGTGTATCAATGGATTCCCCATGAGAGGCGCATGCAAACTTTCACCGACCTGATCAAGACTCTGAGGTCTGGCGGCGTCTTCGCCTTCCAGGTGCCTGACAACTTTTCGGAGCCTTCCCACATTGCCATGCGTGAGGTCGCCGAGGAGGGTCCGTGGGCCGACACCCTGAGGCACGCTCATCCAGCTCGCAAACCATTTCAATCACCTCAAGAGCTCTACGACCATTTGAAGCCTCTGTGTTCGGATATCAGCATCTGGCACACCCAATACTATCACGTACTGGAAGACCACAAAGCCATCGTGGAGTGGGTGAAAGGAACAGGCCTAAGACCCTACGTCGACCCTCTCACGACCTCAGAGAGAGAAGCATTCCTTGAGAAATACCTGGAACGGATCGAGAATGCCTATCCTCCCCTTGTCGATGGAAAGGTCTGCTTGCGCTATCCACGCTTGTTCCTGGTGGCCATTCGAGCTTGATTCCTATCCCGCGCCTTCCCCGGTTTTCGTGGGCCTGGACACTCTTCTCCACCATCAGGTCTGTTCGTTGCGTAGCGGACAGTTACATATCGCCTACTCCTCACAGCCTGACTAGCAACCAAATGGCCTTTTTGGAGTAGATGCAACGACCCTGGAGTTCAAGCAACCACCGGTCTAATTTCTCTGATTCGTCGCAACCCTGATATAGCCACGGTTGACGTGATATGTCTTGTTGCACATACTTCTTCAAGCAGAGGATTTCAACTCACTGGCTTGCGGCGGCCGCAGCCTGCGCGGTTTATGTAATGTGCCGTGATAAGACTCACTAGACACCTTGTAGAAGCGTTCGATTTTGAGTGCAACATATGGGAATAACGAATTGCCTCTCTCCACGCGACTACTGCGGACAAGATTCTCGAATTCAAGGATTCCTGTACACTGAACGCTTGAGCAGCTCTATTCGGTCAGACCAAGCCTGATCTGTCTCTGAGTCTGGCCATTGAAAGGACCGTCCTCAAGCCATGTTTCCCATTGGAAGCAATGCCGTGGGCAGCTGTGGCGTCCCTCTCTCAGGATAGTGTGTGACCCTATGCAAGATCCGCGAGAGCTCTGCTTCACGAGCACGTTGTATGGCACTTATCCTTTTGGGGTGCGTGGTTAGAGTGGAGGGAAGATGTCATAATCCTTTGGATGCATGCCGCCGTCTGTGCAACGACTCCGTCCCAATCCCAGAGAAATGGCGAAGTGCCACAAGTAAACTCGACATCTGAAATGCACGGTCCACGAAAGGACAAATGCGAAGGTATGCTCTTGTCTGGTCGTGAAGTATGCAAGTAGCAAATGCAACAAGCGTTGGAAATGTGACTGGTCTCATGACGAAAAAGAGGAGCCGAATCAAAATGCCAGTTCACTATTTTTGTTGTTGAAGATGCCTGCAGCCTTGTTGAGACGATTCGCTCGAAGCGTCTGAACATCCCTCTTCACAATGCTGCAGGAAGCTAAGTTTTGTTGTTGTCTTTTCGCAGACAAACAAATGCCTGGAACGCCCCTGCTCCCGAATTGCGATCCAACATATACTGTTAAGTATGACTAATGATCTCCCTAGGCATTGTAGGATTGTACGTACAAAGGTCATGTTCGCTCTGATGTCGATTTGTGTTGTTTCTTCCAACTTTAGGCTTGAGGTTTGCGAAGTCGAAGCGGGTGTATCCTGTTTGTGGCTGAATTTTCCGCAGAGATGAAGGATAGACCGGGATCATCGTCCAGCAAAGGGCCTGGACTAAGGAGGGAACTGATGCCCTTGTTCACATTCGGTCGCACCGCCATTCTAGCAAGTGGAGCCGCTCAATAAATTCTTGTAGAGATGCAAGGCTGGCTATGCTGCAGAAGAGGAGTAAAGGATTGTTTCAATGAAGAATGTCGACCCCCTGATTCAAGGTCGGCAGTATATACCAGCCTTTAGTACCCGATAGTAAAAAAAATGATTCCCATTGGCTCCTTCCACA